TAACTAGTGGTGTTCCCCAAGGATCAGTCCTAGGACCAATCCTATTCAACTTATTCATAAATGATCTGGAGAAAGGGGTAAAAAGTGAGGTAGCAAAGTTTGCAGATGATACTAAACTGCTCAAGATAGTTAAGACCAAAGCAGACTGTGAAGAACTTCAAAAAGATCTCACAAAACTAAGTGATTGGGCAACAAAATGGCAAATGAAATTTAATGTGGATAAATGTAAAGTAATGCACATTGGGAAAAAATAACCCCAACTATACATATAATATGATGGGGGTTAATTTAGCTACAACTAATCAGGAAAAAGATCTTGGAGTCATCGTGGATAGTTCTCTGAAGACGTCCACGCAGTGTGCAGCGGCAGTCAAAAAAGCAAACAGGATGTTAGGAATCATTCAAAAAGGGATAGAGAATAAGACGGAGAATATCTTATTGCTCTTGTATAAATCCATGGTACGCCCACATCTTGAATACTGCGTACAGATGTGGTCTCTTCATCTCAAAAAAGATATTCTGGCATTAGAAAAGGTTCAGAGAAGGGCAACTAAAATGATTAGGGATTTGGAATGGGTCCCATATGAAGCGAGATTAAAGAGGCTAGGACTTTTCAGCTTGGAAAAGAGGAGACTAAGGGGGGATATGATAGACAGATAGAGGTATATAAAATCAGGAGTGGTGTGGAGAAAGTGAATAAGGAAAAGTTATTTACTTGTTCCCATAATATAAGAACTAGGGGCCACCAAATGAAATTAATGGGCAGCAGGTTTAAAACAAATAAAAGGAAGTTCTTCACACAGCATACAAGCAGCCTGTGGAACTCCTTGCCTGAGGAGGTTGTGAAGGCTAGGACTATAACAGGGTTTAAAAGAGAACTAGATAAATTCATGGAGGTTAAGTCCATTAATGGCTATTAGCCAGGATGGGTAAAGAATGGTGTCTCTAGCCTCTGTTTGTCAGAGGGTGGAGATGGATGGCAGGAGAGAAATCACTTGATCATTACCTGTTAGGTTCACTCTCTCTGGGACACCTGGCATTGGTCAATGTCGGTAGACAGGCTACTGGGCTGGAGGGACCTTTGGTCTGACCCAGTATAGCCATTCTTATAGTCTTGTGTCCTAAAAGCCAGTCAGAAGAAGACACTGAAATGGCTGATTTTTGAGAAGTATAAGAACTCCCACACCAGAGCCAGGGAGCTGGAGTCCAATCAGTAAAATGTTATTCTACAACCCTACTCCACTAGACCAATTACACCTATGCTTTGTAGGTAACATTGCCCATATTCCAATTTAGTGTGTGAGACAAGGAATGCACCTTCCTCCTCCTGGTTGTAATCATGTAGCAGATAAAGAATTGCATGGGTGCTATTTGTTCTCATATCAAGTATGCGTGATTTTGCTTGTGTGTGGGACATAATCTATTTCCTTCTGTTTTTCCCATTCAGTACTGGAAGGATCAGGGTTTTCTTTAATGTAAATCTGCACTAATGTTAATTATTAGGAACCATGCAGAAGACTACACTATAAACACCTATATTCCTAGAGAGTTAATGCCTCCCTGGCCCCTGCCAAACTACAGTTCCTCTGCCATATAGCTATGTGCTAACCTTATTAACAATATACAGTAGTAATTTGTTTTATTATAGTATTGAAGTCTCAGTTTGTAAATAATCCACGTCACTGCCATATAAGTAGCTGATGAAATGTCTTTACTAGGTTTGCTGAGCATGAAAGAAACCACACCATTTGGCAATAAAAACTACTAACAGAATCTAACCAAACCAAGACCATGACAAAAGCAGCATGTTGTCGATCTATTGTTTTTATTCTTGGGACAGATTTTATTATTTTTGGAGCTATTACAAGACCTATGTTAAATATTGTGGATAAGAGGAAACAGACTCTTGGCAAACGTGGAAAACCAATTACAGCATATTACTCTACTCTAGCTCCAGAAAAGGAGGGGCTAAGCCAGACATTTATTGCCTGCTTTCCTTAACAGCTGAAAAAGTGTTCTGCTGGAGGATCAGCTTGAGGAAAGAGACTATAACTATGACAGCCTTATTGCAGGCAATCCAAGCTGGGGAAGGTAAAATGACACACTAGGCAATCAGCTTTATCTAAATCTAAAGGAGTATACTGCTGTCAGGGGAGCTTTGATTAAGGAAATCACTATTCTATATAGATATATTGCTCACTTAAAAAATAGTGCCCTTGGTTGCAACCTTCACACTTTAGGCCTTTCTATCAGGGTAGTGAATACTTCTGAAACTTGCTATAGGAAATAAAATGGAATATGTCTGATCTCCTGACTTGACAGATAATAAATAATTTGATCCTATATTTTTGAAAGAGGTAAAATAAGGAGAGGAGAAAATCATTCTAGTTGAAAGTTTTAACCAGCATGTAGTCTAAGTTAGATCAACGCTCCCCCCACCCCCCAACAAACTGTTGTTACAAATTAGTTTGGAGGTACCTTACCTGTTTCTCTTACTATTTGTAAAACTACATCTTTGTCAGTATGCAGGTGTATGTGAAGCAATGTATCAATGTGTGTTGAATTCACGGAGCCCTATTTTTCCTAGAATGTAGATGGGGTTGCTCACAGTATACCTTCCATAGAGGTTGGAGCCACTGATGGACATACTTATAAATGGGGAGAAAGTCAGTCTTTCATCTCTTGGGGAAGGGAGAGTAGGAAGGGTTATGGTGTACTTAATGTAATCTGGTAGGCCTCAATGGTTTCCCCCCCCACACACATTTCTGTGTGCAAGGAAAACCCAGAAATATGGACTGACTTTGGTGGAAACTGGGGGTGTTCACACACATATTAGGAAGCAGGAAGCTAAAGAGCACAGATCAGAAGAAACTCAGGCAACTATGAGGGAACTATTAATTGAGCAGACAGGATGCGGGATAACTGAAGAAAGGTCTAGGATCTCTGATTATACTGAAGAGCAATTATAGAAACTAAGTTTAGATGCAGGAGAGGACACCCTTCATCTACATGAAATTGTGTATAAAGAAGGTGATAACAGAAAAGTATTCAAGAGGAAAACACTGCAGTTAAACTTACTCCTTACTCCTGAAGGCAGAAACTGAAATTAAGGCCTGGTCTACACTGGGGGGAATCGATCTAAGTTACGCAACTTCAGCTATGTGAATAATGTAGCTGAAGTCGACGTACTTAGACCTACTCACCGCGGTGTCTTCACTGCGGTGAGTCGACTGTTGCCGGTCCCCCATTGACTCTGCCTGCGCCTCTCGCGGTGGTGGAGTACAGGAGTTGACGGGAGAGCGCTCGGGGGTCGATTTATCGCGTCTAGACTAGACGCGATAAATTGACCCCTGCTGGATCGATGTCTGCCTGACAATCTGGTGGGTAGTGTAGACATACCCTAAGGAAGGATTAGCACTCCTGGGCTCACAGAAACAGCTTCCGTTTAGAGAAGGCAAGTAAAAGATGGAACAGATCAACTCTTTATTGAAAAAGTTTTGTTAAACAAATTTATTTAAAATCTTTAATAAAACAGATAAAAAAGGAGGACTTGTTGAATTTTTACTGTTCAAGCATTGGAAAAGGCACAGTTGTGAACAAGTTAGATGAGGATATTGAGCAAATGTACTAAAGTATTCCTAAATCAGTGGCTCTCAACCTTTCCAGACTATTTTACCACTTTCAGGTGTCTGATCTGTCTTGCATACCCCCAAGTTTCACCTCACTTAAGAACTACTTGCTTACAAAATCAGGCATAAAAATACTAAAGTGTCACCACACACTATTAATGAAAAATTGCTCGTTCTCATTTTTACCATATAATTATAAAATAAATCAACTAGAATATAAATATTGTACTTACATTTCAGTGTATAGTATATAGAGCAGTATAAACAAGTCATTGTCCCTACGAAATTTTAGTTTGTACTGATTTCGCTAGTGCTTTTTATGCAGCCTGTTGTAAAACTAGGCAAATATCTAGATGAGTTGATGTATCCCCTGGAAGACCTCTGTGTACCCCCAGGGGTATGCGTACCCCTGGTTGAGAGCCACTACCCTAAATAGCCAAGTGCATGGGGAACACTTGGCCTCTACATCCAAGTGATGATGTGCATAATTAATTGCTAGGTGCTTGTTTGTGGAGCTTGACAGCAAGAAGAATTTCAGGGGCAGAGTCTGTACAAGTCTGTGGTCAGAAAATATATATAATATAAATAAATGTATTTTAGTTCTAACCACTCTATATTTTAAAAGGTGTTTACACTGGTATTCTCCCCCCATAACCTTTGAAATCATTTTCACTATAGAAAGCTGTGGCCTAGAAGAATATAAACACAAAGCTAGCTTTACAGAATTATAGCAATGGAAACATTTTAGCAGATCTATCCGTAGCCATGCTAATTAATGGAAACAGGAGTGCCATGTTATATTAAACTCAAGGATGTTCGCCTTCTTTGGTAGCAGCAGAGTGGCTGGAAACCTGATATTCCAATAGTTTAATACTCCCTTTAAATGTCCTGCCCCTCTATACCCTCAGTAGAGGGGCATCAGGGCAGGTAGGGCACAGACATGGGCCAACAATCACTGCTGGTCTAAACAATTCTAAACTCTGGTGCAGGGATGTGCAAACACCCAAGACTGGAATACAAATAGACAATCATTTGAACATCAGTTACATAAAATAAGTAACCTCTTTTTTTCCAATAGCTTCCTAAAAAAGAAATGGGACCATATTACATCTGTTCATAAAAAGTTGGACAACTAGTTGATCACAAAATGTTCATAAGCTAAATTCTACATCTAGTCAAGATCTAAGAAAGGTTTCTTAGGGCTTGTCTATACTTACGCGCTGGTTCGGCGGCAGGCAATCGAACTTCTGGGTTCGATTTATCGCGCCTTGTCTGGACGCGATAAATTGAACCCAGAAGTGCTCCCCGTCGACTCCGGTAATCCTACTTGGCGCGAGGAGTATGCGGAGTCGACGGGGGAGCCTGCCTGCTGCGTCTGGACCGCGGTAAGTTCGAACTAAGGTACGTCGACTTCAGCTACGTTATTCACATAGCTGAAGTTGCGTACCTTAGTTCGAACTGGGGGGGGGTTAGTGTAGACCAGGCCTTAAATTCATTACTTTAAATTACGGAAACTTCAATAGAATTAATTATACTTATATGAATACTTCTAGAAAATTTGGAAAATATAAAGTATTCTACAAAGTAATTTTATTTCCATGTACTGTAATGTTTTACTTGCTTTTTATGTATTTGGCAGTAAATGGCTTCTTGTACCACCTTCATTTTGGTTTGATTTGGGAAAGTGGGATGTAGTGTATGTTGTGAGGGAAAGGTTGTCCATGAGACAAGATATAGAGCATACTGTTTAAAATTAAAAATAAAATAAGAATAAAATAAATCCTCTTCTAAGATTTTATTTTGTAAATCTATGCTAACTTTATACAGATGCCAAATTCTACCACCGAAAACCTCTTAGCAGAGTCGATGCTTAAATCCTGATGGTGGGGAGGCCATAATGTAAAGGTTGGGGAGCACATGACTACCCCACACATCACCTCTGGGATGGGGGGGGGGAAGGGGGACATGGGGAAAGTTTAAACTTACTTGCTGACTTTGGCTGGCAGCTGGAATAGAGCCGTTCACACATGAGAAATCCTGTCTTGCGGAGGGCCCAGCCAGCAGTCTTACCACTGTGATGAAAGTCTACATTATAGACAAAACCTTGAAGGGGGAGTAGGGCACAAGGGCTAGTAATTAGCTGCACCTGATGAAGCTGTGCTGTAAGGTACCCAGTAACAGTGCTGAAGGTGTTAGCCCATTGACACAGATGCTCTAGGATTTCTAAGGTTGGGATTCAAAAGCACATCCGTTGTCCTGTGTGAAACCACACACCCTTCTCTCCTGTGGGTGAATTTTGTGGGGTTTTCTGATTCCTCTCTTTCTTTCCTGTGGGTTTTACATTGGCAATGCAGGACTTCTGCCATTTCTCTTCCTCCACCCATTTATTTCCAATCACAGAACTAAATATTAATAGTAACTTATGTTCAAAGATCATGACTTGATCACAGTTATAGTTTGCAACCTGAATGAACTCCAGACCAGTAATATATATAATTGGTGTTGTAGTAGGGCCAATTTCACAAAGCTGAAAACAATTATAAGCCAAATCAGCTGGGAGGAAGAATTTAATCAGAAAAATGTTAATGATAATTGGGAATCATTTAAGAACACCTTCTTAACTGCCCAAAAAGACACAATCCCACAAGTGTCTTTAGAGGGGAAGTGAAGGCAGTTATAAAAATAAATAAAAAAGAAAAATATGCAACAAATGGAAGAAGGGGAAGTTGATAGTAATGAATATAAATCAGAAGTTAGGAATTGTAGAAAACTGATAAGGGAGGCAAACAGATACAAGGAGGCATATAGGGACAGCAGTGATAAAAACAATAAGGAGTTTTTTAAATATATTAGGAACAAAAAGAATCCTAACAATGATGTAAGTCCACTACTAGATGGAAAACACAGAATTATCAATAATAATGCAGAAAAGGCAGAAATGTTTAATAAATATTTATATTCTGTGTATGGAGAAAAACAGATGATATAGTCTCATTGTGGTGATAATACTCATTCCATTCCACTAGTATCTCTGGAAGATCTTAAACAGAAGCTACTAAAGTTGGACATTTTGAAATAACCAGATCCAAATAACCTGCATCCAGAGTTTTATAAGAGCTGACTGAGCAGCTTACTGAACTAGTAACACTGACTTTTCAATAAGTCTTAGCACATTGGGGAAGACTTCTAGAAGACTGGAAGAAAGCTAATGCTGTGTCAATTTTTAAGAGTAAACAGGATGACCCAAGTAAATACAGGCCTGTCAGCCTGACATGGATCTTGGACAAGATAATGGAGCAGCTCATACGGGACTTGATTAATAAAGAATTATGGGAGGGTAATGTAATTAATGCCAATCAACATGATTTTATGGTAAACAGATCCTGATAAAACAAAGATATCAAATTAGTTTATGAGATTACAAGTTTGGTTGATAATGGTAATAGTGTTCTCTAAGGTGTTTGACCTGGTACTGCACATTTTGATTAAAAAATAGAATGATATGAAATTAACATGGCACATTAAATGGATTTAAAAATTGGCTAACTGATAATTTCAAAAAGGAATTATAAATGGGGAATCATCATCAAGTGTTTCCAGGGGGGTTCTTCAGGGCTAAGTTCTTGGCTCTATGGTATTTAACAGTTTTATTAATGACCTGGAAGAAAACATAAAATCATCACTAATAAAGATTACACAAAAATTGGAGGAGTAGTAAATAATCAAAAGGACAGGTCACTGATTCAGAGCAATCTGGATAACTTGGAAAAATGGGCACAAACAAGCAATATGCATTTTAACATAGCTAAATATAAATGTATACATCTAGGAACAAAGAATGTAGGCCCTACTTACAGAATGGGGGACTCTATCCTGGAAAGTGTTGACTCTGAAAAAGATTTGGGGTCGTGATGGATAATCAGCTGAACATGAATCCCCAGTGGCCAAAACAGCTAATTGGGTCCTGGGTAGGATGTATAAACAGGGGACTCTCAAATAGAAATATTTGGCACTGATGCAACTGCTTCTAGAATACTGTGTCCAGTTCTTGTGCCCACAATTCAAGAAGGATGCTGATAAATTGGACAGGTGCAGAGAGGAGTCATGAGAATGATCAAAGGATTAGAAAACGTGCCTTATATTGATAGTCTCAACGAACTCACTCTATTTAGTTTAACAAACAGAAGGTTAAGGGATGACTTGATTAGTCTTTAAGTATCTTCATGGGGAACAAATATTTAATAATGGACTCCATCTAACAGAGAAGGGAGTAATACAGTGCAATGGCTGGCACTTAAAGCTAGACAAATTCAGACTGGAAATAAGGCATACAATTTTGATAGTGTGTAATTAACCAGTGGAACAATATTCCAAGGGTTGTGGTGGATTCTCCAAGGTTGTAGGTTTTTCTAAAATATATTCTCTAGGAATTATTTTGGGGAAATTCTGTGTCCTGTGTTATACAGGAGGTCAGATTAAATGATGACAATGGTCCCTTCTTGCCTTGGAATCTATGAATCTATTATTATTTGTATTACCGTAGCACCTAATGGTCCTTGCCTCCCTGGTGCTGGGCACTGTATAAACACATAACAGGACAGTCCCTGCCCTACAGAGATGTTATTTTTGCCTTCTCTCTAATAGTTCATATCTGCATCTTCATTAAAGTCACAGTTGTCTGTGTGCAAGTTTTTGTTTTGACTCATTCCATCTTTTTGTTTTGCAATCTATACACCTCTACCCCGATATAACGCTGTCCTCGGGAGCCAAAAAATCTTAACGCATTATATCGAACTTGCTTTGATCCGCCGGAGTGCACAGTCCCGCCCCCCCGGAGCACTGCTTTACCACGTTATATTCAAATTCGTGTTATATCGGGTCACATTATATCAGTGTAGAGGTGTATTTTTTCTTAAAGATACTTTGCATGACAGATTCTATATAAAAATTTGTTGGGTATCCATCTTCTCCCATCCTACATACGATACTGTCAGGAATATATATAGTATTAGGACTCCATTTACCAGAAAGCAATGATGCAAAGAAATTGTGAGTGAAACTCACCCGAGAACAGCCCCCATCTGCTTCCTCCCTCCAGTTCCTGTGCATCCTTCAACTTGAAAGGAGCCCTTGCCTCGCTCTTCCTGCTCTGCCTACTCTCTTCCTTCTGATTTGCATTCTTTTTTGTGTCCCCTATACTTTTTAAAGGAAAAAGAGAGAGAGATTGAGAGAATAGGTATCCCAGAAGCTCCTTCCTTCCCCCTCCTCCCCAATTGAAGCCAATTAGGATCCAAGCATAAGGGGAAGCTGGTATTCCCTCTGTATGTAAGTCCTCTGCTGAGAGCAATGGATTTCACAGAGGGAGCAATTTAGGGATCCAGTACTAATCTTCATTTTTCTGGGATGTTGCCGGGTCTGATCTCACATCTGCTAATGGAGCAAGCTGTTCTGTCTGCTCAGGGACCTGTTAACCTTTCAGTTTTCCTGTACCAGCATCTTCTGCAGGGTGGAGCTTGGAGAAGAGCAGTGATTTCTCCTTCAGAAACCTCTGTCTACTTCTGCTCCCAGGTTGTCATCTCGGATTACCCCTAGCCTCCGTCTTTCCAGGAATGTTGCCATCTCCTACCTTCTAAACTCCTACCAAGGCTAAGTCTACACTACCGCAGTAAGTCGACCTACGCTACGCAACTCCAGCTATGTACCTTAGGTCACGTTACCGCAGGGTCTACACCGCGGGGGGTCGACGGGAGAAAATCTCCCGTCGACTTACCTTACTCTTCTCGTTGGAGGTAGAGCACAGGGGTCGACTGGAGAGCGATCTGCAGTTGATTTGGCAGGTCTTTACTAGACCCGCTAAATCGACCACCGGTGGATCGATCTCAGAGCGTCGATCCCTGCTGTAGTGTAGACCTGCCCTAAGTCCCACCCACTCTGGGTGGTGCTCCAGAGAAGCTCATTCTTAAACCTGGAGAATGCCCTTGTCAGTAAGAAGTCAAGATTTAAGAAAGGACTTTAGAGCACTTAAGAGTTCATGCCTCATACATCTCATGATTCACAGGGCCTTATTAGCTCCCATCTTTGTTACATTCTTATTATAAAGGTTTAGCATTACCCTATTAACACAGTGGGATCCATTTGACATCCAAGGAAAGTAGCTTTGTGTCCTGAGTAGTATAGAAGGCTGGAAGAACAATATGTTCATTAATATGAAATTCTGTGTTCATCTTTGTGAAAAAGGCTAAAAAGCATCACTTTGCCTGGAAAGAATTGTAGATATGGAGAGGTATTGGTGAGAGAGAGCCCAATTTTTCAGTCCTTTTGGCCTCAGTAACTGCCAGCCCCAAAACATCTTTGATAGTAATAGTTCTTCTTCGAGTGCTTGCTCATATCGATTCCAATTAGGTGTGCGCGTGCCGCGTGCACGATTGTTGGATAAATATTCTACCCTAGCAACACCCGGTAGGTCGGCTGTGGAGCCCCCTGGAGTGGCGCCTTCATGGCGCCGGATATATACCCCAGCCGACCCAGCGCCCCCTCAGTTCCTTCTTACCGCCCCTGACGGTCGTTGGAACTGTGGAGCGTGGCATAGCTGTTCTCCACTCTCCCTAGCTTATCCAGTTAATTCTTATAGTTATAGTTGTAGTTATAGTTGTATGTTCTTTAGATTAGTTATTCCTGTTCATAGTTAATTGTTAAATACTTGTAAATAGTTAGCGGGGGTTGCTTCTCCCCTCCTTTTCCCCCAGCGCATAGCCGGGCTCATGCCCAAGGCTCCTGGCTTTAAGCCGTGCGCGTCCTGTGCTAAGCCTATGCCAACGGGAGATCTGCACGACTCGTGTCTGAAGTGTTTAGGAGAGTCCCACCAAACAGATAAGTGCAAAATCTGTAAGGCTTTCAGACCCAAAAAGGAGCGGGACTTTCAACTCAAGCAGCTCCTCATGGAGGCGGCACTTAGCCCAGATCCTCCCTCGGCGCGCCAAGTTCTGGAACCGAGTGCTTCGGTGCGCAGCGCCCCTGCGCCACCTACCGGTACTACACCGCGAGCAGACGCGGATAAGGCCTTGCGGCACCGTCCTCCTTCAGCACCGCATCCGCCGCAAGGGCCTCGGCGCCGGTCCCTGTCTCCGGGACATAAGAGACCCCGCAAGACACAGGAGGCTGCTGTCCTACAGGCACCACCTCCACCGGTACCGGTGGTAGAGCCGCGTCCGCCTCTAGAGCGCCAGAAGTCACAGATATCGGCTACACCGTTGACTCCGGCACCGGGGCCGTTGAGTCCGGTGCGGACTGGCTCACCACCACGTTCCGTGGTGGAGCCCTGTCTCCCGTCTACCCCGGAGACCTTTGCGATGGCGAAGGACCTCATCGCTCTCACGGAGCCGGCGCCATCTCAACCTGCGGCACCACCCGCCCTTTGGTCAGTGCAATCCAGGGGCAAGCCTGCCCTAGTACGCCCGCCGTCTCCGAGCGTGGACTCGCGGCACCACTCCAGGTCTCGGAGCAGGTCCCGATGCCGCTCGCAGTCCCGACGCCGACTTTCACCCTGGCACCGGTCGTACTCGCGGCCTAGGTCCTCTTCACAGCACCGATCTACGTCTTGGCACCATCGGGATCATCGGTACCGATCGGAGTCGCGACGTAGCTCTCGGCACCGGTATGAGCGCCGCTCCAGTTCTAGGGGCGCTCTCAGCACCACGTCTACAGGCGGTCGTCGTCGTCTCGGTCCAGATCTGGATCCCGGCACCGACGGCACCGATCTCTATCACGGTACCGCTCACCGGCACCACGCAGGGACCGCTCGCCTACGGACCGGCACCGATCGGCACCGTATTGTACGGAGCCCATTCAGATGCGTTCGGCACCGCCTTGGCCCTCGAGATCAGCGTCTCACTCCTCCAACGACGCTTCGCGATCAGCATACCCTCCTCAGGGTCAAGCTGCCGCTGACTTGGGTCACTGGCAGGAGGGGGCAGAGGACCCTGCGCAGGACCCTACGCATTGGTCTTTCTGGACTCCATGGGCGTATCACCAAGCGCAAGGGGCTTCACCATCAGCCTCTCGCTCGGCACGCTCCGAGCCCAGAGTCCCGGAGGCTACCATCTCCCGTCCTCCCCCAGGGGGCATGGAGACTCCCGTGCCTACACCTCAGGCCCTAGACCCCGGGGCAGGAGAGCCACCGATTCAGGGGGAGCCGGACCCCCCTTGCCCCTAGAAGCATCCTCCTCATCTTCCCCGGATGAGACGGTGGCGGGCACATCAGCCTCGGGCCCGCCCCCAATAGATCTTCGTGCCCACCAGGACCTATTACGTAGGGTGGCACGTAATATGGACCTCCAGGCGGAGGAGATAGTAGAAGTGCAGGACCCGGTGGTGAGCATCCTGTCGGCTGATGCCCCATCCCGGGTGGCATTACCACTAATTCGGATGATTCAGGCTAATGCCACTACCATATGGCAAACCCCTGCCTCCATTCCACCCACAGCCAGAGGGGTAGAAAGAAAGTACTTCGTCCCATCCAAGGACTATGAGTACTTATATACGCACCCTCCACCGTGTTCACTGGTCGTGTCCGGTGAACGCAAGAGAGCGTCATGGCCAGCAGGCGGCAGCGCCCAAGTCGAAGGACGCTAAACGCTTCAATTTGTTCGGGCGTAAAGTGTACTCTGCTGGGGGTTTGCAGCTCAGAGCCGCTAACCAACAGGCGCTCTTGAGCCGCTACAGTTACAACTCATGGAACTCCATGGGTAAATTCAAAGAGTTGGTTCCCCAGGACTCAAGAGAGGAGTTCGGGGCCTTAGTGGAGGAAGGTAAGAAGGTGGCTAGGACCTCCTTGCAAGCCTCTTTGGACATAGCGGACTCTGCCGCCAGGACTCTAGCATTGGGCATAGCCATACGACGCGTCTCCTGGCTCCAGGTTTCGGGCTTGCCGCCAGAACTGCAGCAGACCCTGCAGGATTTACCGTTCGAGGGCCAGGGACTGTTCTCGGATAAGATGGACTCTCGATTGCAGAGCCTCAAGGACTCGAGAACTATCATGCGCTCCCTGGGGATGCATGTCCCAGGGCCCCAGCGCAGACCCTTTAGGCCCCACCTGCAAAGGTTCTACCCTCCCCCGCCTCGTCCGAGACAGGACTTTCCCAGAAGGCGGGGTCGAGGTGGTAGACGAAGGTCGACCCCTCAGCCCGGTCAGAACCAGGGCCCGCCTAGGCCACCTTCAGGTCCTAGACAAAACTTTTGAAGGTGCACTCGAGGACGGTGCCCCAGCCACTACCCAGGATCCATCTCCCTCCTTTCGGGATCGCCTCTCCCATTTCCACCGTGCTTGGTCCCTTATAACCTCGGACCGTTGGGTCCTTCGCACGGTGGACAGGGGATACGCTCTCCAGTTCTCTTCGTCGTCCCCCCACTTCCCTTCCCTTCCCCATCCCTCTTCAGGGACCCTTCTCACGAGCATCTCCTTATACAGGAGGTTTTTGGCCTCCTCAATATGGGGGCCATAGAGGAGGTGCCCCCGGAGTTAAGGGGCAGGGGGTTCTACTCCCATTACTTCCTGATCCCCAAGTCAAAAGGGGGTCTGCGACCCATTTTAGACTTAAGGGGACTCAACAAATTCATAGTAAAGTTGAAGTTCCGCATGGTCTCCTTGGGGTCCATCATCCCCTCCCTGGATCCTGGAGACTGGTTTGCCGCCCTCGACATGAAGGACGCATATTTTCATATAGCAATCTACCCCCCATATAGGCGCTTCCTTCGATTTGTAGTAAACAAGATGCACTACCAATTTGCCGTCCTTCCCTTCGGCTTGTCCGCGGCTCCGAGAGTGTTCACAAAATGTATGGCTGTCGTGGCAGCATACCTTCGTCGACAGAGGATACAGGTGTTCCCATATCTAGACGACTGGCTGGTGCGCAGCCACACCAGGGAGCAAGTTCAAGCTCACGTCCAGATAATACTGCAAACATTCCACGAGTTAGGCATTCTACTCAACAAGGAAAAGTCCACTCTGGAGCCAATCCAGAGAATAGAGTTTATCGGGGCAGTCTTAGACTCCAGACTCGCCCAAGCTCTTCTGCCAGACACTACGGTTTCACACCATCACAAACATCATCCACAGACTCCAGGTCTTCCTGATTACCACAATAAGGACATGCCTCGGCCTGTTGGGACACATGGCCTCTTGTACTTACGTAACCAGGCATGCCAGACTTTGGCTTTGCCCACTTCAGGCCTGGGTATCGTCGGTGTACCGCCCTTATCGGGACAACCTGAGCATGGTGGTCACGGTTCCGAACTCGGTCTTGACCTCTCTCACTTGGTGGCTGGGTCACAAAGCGGTTTGCGCAGGAGTGCCGTTTCATGCCCCACAACCCTCCCTGCACCTGATCACAGACGCTTCGTCCCTAGGTTGGGGTGCTCACCTCGGGGAGCACCATACCCAGGGCCTGTGGACCGCATCCCAGCTAGCTCTGCACATCAACGTTCGAGGGCTGATGGCGGTGCGCCTAGCCTGTCAGGCATTTCTGGGTCTCCTGCATGGCCGTTGTGTGTCAGTCCTCACAGACACCACCACGGCCATGTTCTACATCAACAAGCAAGGAGGAGCCCAGTCGTCTCTCCTATGCCAAGAGGCCATTCACCTGTGGGAGTTCTGCATTGTCCACTTGATACATCTCACGGCATCGTTCCTCCCTGGAGCCCAGAACACTCTGGCGGACCGTCTCAGCAGGTCTTTCCAGACGCATGAGTGGTCGATTCGTCCAGACATCATCTATTCCATCTTCCAGAGGTGGGGATTTCCCCAGGTCGACCTGTTTGCATCTCGAGCCAACAGGAAGTGCCACACATTCTGCTCCCTACAAGGGCGATCTCCGGGCTCCCTGTCGGAAGCTATCTTGGAAGACAGCCTTCCTCATAGCCATCACTTCAGCAAGGCGCGTTTCTGAAATCAGGGTGCTCACGTCTGAGCCTCCATACACAGTTTTCCACAAAGACAAGGTGCAGCTCCGCCCCCACCCTGCCTTTCTCCCCAAGGTAGCTTCAGCTTTTCATGTGAACCAGAATATATTTCTCCTGGTTTTCCATCCTAAGCCACACGCTACCTGTCGAGACCAGCGTATGCATTCCTTGGACGTACGCAGGGCCCTGGCTTTCTATATTGAGCGTACAAAGCTGTTTAGGAAGACGACACAACTCTTCGTTGCAGTGGCCGACCGGATGAAAGGCTTACCGGTCTCCTCACAACGTCTCTCCTCTTGGATCACGTCCTGCATTCGTGCTTGCTACGACCTGGCCGGTGTCCCGACGCCGCGCCTCACCGCCCACTCCACGAAGGCCCAAGCCTCCTCGACTGCCTTCCTGGCTCACGTCCCGATCCAGGACATTTGTAAAGCGGCGGTTTGGTCATCGGTCCACACCTTTGCTGCTCACTATGCGCTGGTACAGCAGTCCAGAGACGATGCTGCATTCGGATCAGCGGTTTTGCACACAGCGATGTCTCACTCCGACCCCACCGCTAGGTAAGGCTTGGTAGTCACCTAATTGGAATCGATATGAGCAAGCACTCGAAGAAGAAAAGACGGTTACTCACCTTTGTAACTGTTGTTCTTCGAGATGTGTTGCTCATATCCATTCCCCACTGTCGGAGTAGCCGGCAAAAAGGAACTGAGGGGGCGCTGGGTCGGCTGGGGTATATATCCGGCGCCATGAAGGCGCCACTCCAGGGGGCTCCACAGCCGACCCACCGGGTGTTGCTAGGGTAGAAAATTTATCCGACGATCGTGCATGCAGCGAACGCACACCTAATTGGAATGGATATGAGCAACACATCTCGAAGAACAACAGTTACAAAGGTGAGCAACCGTCTTATTTTAAAGAATTGGCTCCAATAGTCTCAAAGTAGGGTCCTCGGGGCAATTAAAATTGGTCTCTCTCTCTCACCAATACCTCTCCATAACTACAATTCTTTCCAGGCAAATTGGTGCTTTGTCATCTTTTAGCCTTTTTCACAAAGATGAACACAGAACTCCCACCTGTTCATGCTCTCTGTATGTGTGCATATATATCTCCTCAATATATGTTTCACTCTATATGCATCCGAAGAAGTGGGCTGTAGTCCACGAAAGCTTATGCTCTAATAAATTTGTTAGTCTCTAAGGTGCCACAAGTACTCCTGTTCTTTTTGCGGATACAGACTAACACGGCTGCTACTCTGAAACAGAATTTTATATTAATGAACGTATTGTTCTTCCAACCTTCTATACTACTCAGGACACAAAGCTATTTTCCTGGGATGTCAAATAAGTTTTCCCTATGTTCTTCTTAGGAAAGGTTTAAGTTGTTCAATAGGTCTGAGGGCTGCCCTTGAGGAAAAGCTGCTAACCGCTTGTCAACACATTTAGTTTGGACAGCTGGGATATAAATCTACCCCAAACTAGTTTGCTGTGTACTAAGTGTCTGTGTAGACTCTGCTGCCACACACTAACAGTTGCCTAGTGTGCTTTGATCTACCGTGCTCTGAAATGGCAAGACTGCCATTGCCAGATGGATTGAGGAATAAATTTATCTAGTGCAGGAACAGACAAACCTCCCTTCTGACATGGCTGTTAAGAGCCACTGCTCGAAGTCTCTTTCCTTCCTGGACAGTGATAAGTGAGGCATCTTTCTGAGGCAGTAGCCCCAATTCAGATATTTCACAGGTTGGGGTGGGCGCAAATTCCAGTCCCTGCCCCCTCCGGTTCTGGTCTCCACTCATCTCCCTGCCTAATAGGGACCTCAGGTCTCCCTCAGCTGAGGAGTCACCCTTCTCTCAATCACACAATGCATGAGCTGGTGCTAGCCAGTGTCAAGTTCTCAGCAGACTCTCTTGTGCTCCATCATACAGGAACAGACTCCCCATGTGCCAGATCACAAAATCACTCACTGAAATCTGGCCCAACTGCCCCTCCATCTGTACAGTGTGGTGCCCACACAGCCAGAGCAGTGCTCAAATCCACTCTGACAGCACCCTTACTAATTTAATATGGGACCGCTGATTGAAAGTGGCTGGGCCATGTGCTTTCCTCCCCCCTGGCTACATGGCCTATGGAACTTTGAGCAACTTTGAGCAAGTGCAAAAACACTGGGGGCAGAAGTGGAAGCGGCCCTCATATTAGTGCCACTCCTTTGAGTATATAAAGTGGCAAGTGACACTCCATACATTTATAACATGCTATCAACTGGATCTGCTGTCTGCTAACTCCAGACCCCACCTTTGCTTGGAAAGTGTTTAAGTTCCATTAAATAATTCCTTCTCCTAGATGATGCTTCTTACATCCATCATCTGTTCCTAATGGACTTTCATAAAGTGGGAAAAGTGAGACATGAGACAAACAAAAATTACATACCAATGTTTCCATTTACCATAACTTCCTTTTCCATCCTACACCCTGCCAAGGAAGGGTGCTGCTACTTTTTGCATACTTCTCCATTTTTTTCTTTACCTTATTGCTATAGCAATAGATAATTGGAGGAGGAAGGGGTGGCCTTGTGTTTATATACCACAAACCTGTTCCAGTTTTTCCCTCCTTTGCTTCCTGCTAGGTGGAGCAGTAAAACAATCTGTCCCTGTGGGATGGGAGAAAATGAGACCACAGACTTGTCTACATGCACAATTGCAGCAGTTAAACTAACAGTGTGGGATTTAAAATCAGTTTAGTTAACCTGGTGCAGACGGCTCTGTGGCACTGTTAGGCCTTGGCTACACTCGCGGATTCACAGCGCTGCCGAGGCAGCGCTGTGAAGCGCAAGTGTAGTCGCGCCGCCAGTGCTGCGAGAGCTCTCTCGCAGCGCTGCAAGTACTCCACCTCTCGGAGGGGAATAGCTTGCAGCGCTGCGAGCGAGCGTGCAGCGCTGCAGGCGCTGATTACACTGGCGCTTGACAGCGCTGCACTCGCTGCGCTCAGGGGGGATGTTTTTTCACACCCCTGAGCGCAGCAAGTGCAGTGCTGTGAATTGCCAGTGTAGCCAAGGCCTTAGAATGATCTAAAGCTGCTTTCATTTGATTTAACTTAGACTAACGAGCAGTAAGAGTATCTACGGGCAGTAAGAGTATCTACGTGGGGTTTAAGTTAAACAAGTGCAGCATCTGCATATAGACAAAACAAAAACTAATGGAATAACTAGTAGTTTCCCTCTTTAAACCTGAATCCCTAAAACAGTGGTCACTTCACAAAAAGGCCAGGTAGCCAATTTGTAATATTGTCTTTAGCTTAGGGTGACCAGATAGCAAGGGTTAAAAATCGGGACAGGGGGTGGGGGTAATATACACCTGTATAAGAAAAAAACCCAAATATCAGGACTGTCCCCATAAAATCAGGACATCTGGTCACCCTAGGGTGAGCAGACAGCAAGTGTGAAAAATCAGGACGGGGGGGGGGGTAATAGGAGCCTGTATAAGAAAAAGACCCAAAAATTGGGACTGTGCCTATAAAATCGGGACATCTGGCCAACCTATTTTAGCATTTTAAGTCTTTAAGGTCCCTGGTTCTGCGGCATCCTGCTTGCCTGGTTAGAAGTGGACTCGTCTTCCCCCCATAATGACCCGTGTCGTTTCCTGTTTTTTCTTTACCATTAAGTACGTGGGTGCCAGCCCCAGCTAGGATTCCTCACAGGAAAGGAAAGGACTCTGGCTGCACGAGGGCCATCTTCCCTCCGGGCAGAGCTGAAGGAGGAGGCTCCTATTATTTTGTTAGAAGCCGGCCTAGGCAGTTGCAGGAGGCCCTCGCTGAGGTCAGGGCCCGTTGTCCTGCATGGGGCACAAACACAGGGAAGGGCTTTCAGTATGAATAGACTGGGGAAGGGGGGGAGGGGCTATCATGTATTATCCTCCCCACTGCCAGGGGCCTCGGGGCGCCAAGGCGTGCACACAGGCTGGCAGGGCCAGGGCCAGACAAAGGCCGGGCTCCCTCCCCCAGGTGCTGTCGCAGGCGTGGGAGGAAGGACGCAGGGCCCTGACACGGTCCCATAGGGTACAGTGAGGGGGGCCGCCGCAGCGCGGGGCTGGCTCCGCACCCCGCGTGGAGTCATGCCTGGAGAGGCACAGCGGGAATCCCTCGGGTCGCGCGCGGCAGCGAGCCTCATTGTCTTGCGCTCACTGCCCCACTCACGCGCGGCGCAGCGGCGAAGCCCTGTCTCTTTAAATGGCGCTGGGCAGCTGTTCGGGCATTTACGGGATTAGCTCTGGGCCACCTGGTGCCTGAGCTCGCTCGCTCTCCCCTCCCGCCTGACGCCCCCTCCCCAGGGAGCGGAGAACCTGCCCGCGCCGCACCAGCCCAGCACAGGCTGGGGGCAGGGGGGAGGGCCGCGCCGTTCCCATTGGCCGGAGATTCCAGCCAATCAGCGCGACGAGGAAATTGCCGTCAGGGAAAGGAAAGCCCAGTGATGGTGACGTCACGGGCCGAGCGGCAGCTTCGGCGGGGATGGAATCCCGGGCAGAGGGGCCGGACAGGAATTGCGGCTGCCGCCCTGGAGCTGCGAGAGGGGCCGGACTGAACCGACCTATTGGCCGATGAGCGTGTGACCGCCTCTGCGTGGGGTGCTTGGGGAAAGGGATCCGGGCCTCGGGGGCTTGTATTCGTGGGCGAGGGAATTCCGGGGAGCAGAGGGAGCTGCCCACGAGAGTGTGTGTGTGGGAGTGATCCCCGGGAGCCGCCCACGGAGGGGGGGAGCGATCCCAGGGACTTGCCCACGGGATGTGGGAGGAGCGATCCCGGGGAGTGCCCACGGGGGGATGTATGGGAGGATGAAGCCGGGGAGCTGCCCACGGGGCTGGGGGGTGGGGGAGCGATCCCAGGGAGCTGTCCAGGGGTAGGGGTGGGGGAAGCAATCCCGGGGAGCAGTGCGGAACTTCAGGGGAAGAGCATCGTGGAGGGGAATAGGGCTCCGTGAGTGCGCGGAGGGTGTGAGGGGAGCTGTGGGGATAAGGGGACTCCTGGGTAGTGAGAGGTGAGGGGCATTCTGCCTGATGGTGGGGGAGCGGAGCTGTGTGTGTTGCCATGGGAAAGGAGGGGAAAGGAACTGCCACAGGAGGGATTCCCAGGGGATAAGTCTGTGGAAATGCGGGTACCATGGCATCATGCTCGGTTAGGGGAACTTGTGATGGCTCTGGAATAGAAGGGTGAAGATGGGGGGCGGAGGATGTTGGGGAAAGGGAGGAAGGTGTTACAGGGTGAAGAATCCTGCCATTAGGAGGGTAGGGATTCTTTGTGATCCTGATCATTAGAGATGGCAAGAGCCATCAAAACGTACACTTGAGTATTAAACTGACACTGTGTTGGATTTCAGTTCATTTTCATATCTCTCTTCTAAAGATTAAATCTTTCTGTGTGTTGCCTGAAACCGCCTCTTCTCCAGTTTCCAATAAACTGCTATTTGTTTCTTTAATTTGGGATAATTCATTCTACTGGCCATCCTTACTGCTATTATCTCCTCGGCTGCCTTGTACAGATTTTCTAGCTGTTTAACTGTATTTTCTTTTTAAAATGTGCTTTGTGATATTTTCACATCTTTGCTTAATTTTCACACAGAAGATCTTCCAGGTCTCATTACTTGGGGAGACAGACTACTCCATTTGGGGTAACTTTGAAGGCAGTTGTAAATGTATTTCTTCCTTGTGGCAGAGGGTTTCACTATGTGTGTTGGAATGACACATTTAAAATCATACTGGTAATATAAAATATTCTTCACCAGGCTATCACAACTCCACATATTAGAGTTCTTTGTTTAACCTTAATTCTCAGATAATGGGAATATTACTTCCTACAATAAATATGTCTCTATCAACCACTGAGGAGGCTGATGTATATCTACTGCTATTTATACAGCTTTCATAACCATGCTATATAATATACTCATTTTGATGCTGAATGTTACATTATAAATAAAACTACAAATGTACCTATAGTTGTTTTCAGTCTTCTTTTCCTCAGTGTAATAATGGAAAAACAAGACAGTATTGATAGTTTCACTTTCTTGTATAAAATATATGACATGAAAATTCGCAGACATCTTTTTCAAAATAAAAATAGAAGCTGTTAGCTACTATTTGAATTACTGATTTAGATTTTAGATTTTCAGACTGTACCTACCCAATTAGTACAAGGGTGAATGTAGTATAACTGCCTATATGAGCATATTACACGTTCTAAAAATTAACATTCACAGAGTAGTCTCTGTTGTTCTAGGCATGATACAAATGTATCAAAAGACAGTCCCATCCCATTCTGGTTTAGAGTTTCAGAGGATTCTGAGAGTTTGGCTCCCAAATTACACTGAAATTCAAGGTAGGCGGGTGCCTAAGTCCCTTAGGCATCTCTGAAAATCTCAGCCAAAATGGCCCAGGACTGTCTTTTTGATGTTTATACAGTGCCCTGCAAGAGTGGGGCTCAACCCTAATCAGGGCCCTCTGGGAGCTATTGTAATATAAATAATACTTAACAGTAGGTCAGGGAAGTAGGTTTTAGATTTCAGTCTTTATAAACCATGTTCATTAACAGGTTATGTGCTTCTTACAGTTTTCCTTATTTCTATTGGGTCCACATTTATCTAAAAGATATTGTGTCATTTGAAACTGACATCCCTTGTTAGAAAGAGCAGGTAACGTTAATACGGTTGAGTGCCATCCAGTTGAGAGTGAGTTGCCTAAAGTCAGGTTAAAGTGAATCTCTTCTCAATTACAGTACCATATGGATGGGATCTGACTCTACAATACTATATTAACCATGGCAATTGCTGGCTTTCTCTCATTCACATGCTAACTCAGAAGTACACAGTAAGGAAGTAGACCCAATAATAAACTTGTGTACTTTTTAAAAAATGACAGATCATTTCAAAATTAATGACTTCCTTATTTGTACTTTTACTGTTTATTTCATAACTATTCTTGTAGGTAATGTCCTTTTCCCACAAACATTCTCTTGTTATTGAATGATGATTAGCCTGAGCATGACTGATATGCAAGGGAGGGGAGGGCTGGGAAAGGCTAGTTTGAGAACCAAAATTCACCTTTGCAGCCTCGGGCCAGGATTCTTGTGGCCACCTCTCCAGCCTATGGGCAGCCACAGCCTATCACCATTTGCACAATGTGTTGGGACCATTACATCTGCATGATTCTATATCACATGGCCCCTCCCTTGCAATATTTCACATTAGCCTTTGCTGTAGTCTTTGTGAGAGGTGCAGAGACCTTTTCCGCAGTGATATGGAGATCCTCATATGTGTGTGGCCACTTCACTCTCCACCTGTGCCCCTATGCCTCTGTGTTGCCCCAGCACAGGCTTTATGTTGTGTGGAGGGTCTTATAAGGGCACTTGGCACCTATGTAAGAATTTCACTCAAAATGAATGATCTGATTCAGTTTTTTAGGGATTCAGTTCTGCTTCCATTAAAGTCAATAGAGGGTTTTTTGGGTCAAAAAATGGGGTTGGGGTGGAGGGACAAAGACAAATTTTCTTACAAAAATTTCCTCTTTGTTGAAAACCCATTTTTGTTAAAAATTTTGACCATCTCTATACTTTCAGTACAGTTGATTCATTCACATGTGAACTCACCCAAAAGCTTCCTGTATTATATGTCCTTGTGCCTAACACCTTGTGCCTATATTGATATTTATTGTACATAAAGTCAATTTAGCATATACTAAAATAAAAATAAAAAAATGTGGGAACTTTTAGAGGTGTTCTGGATAACCAGTTTGTCATAAACTAAGGCCCTCTCTCCAGAATGAATCCAAATGAATTAGTACTGGACTTTAAGGCATAAGCATACTAATTAATACAAAGTTTCTTTCTCACAAAAATGTACTAATACTTGCCTTGTTCCAAACTTGTACCTATTTATTATATTTAAAATAAAACTCCCATGGAGATGGTTGAAATTAGGATGCAATATATCTGACTCATGTAAACTGTTGGTTTTGCTAGAACAACTCCTTTACTTTCAGTTTTATTTTCAGGCAGGTACAGTACATCATGGAAATGTCATGTAGAACCTGAAAACTATGCCAGTATATTGATGTCATGCTGAGCTATTTGTCATTTAGTGGGTAGACAGGTTAATTTTAAGTTCAAATTTTAAGGACTTAAAAAACTTACAAGGAATGCTTCTCCTCTTTCTTTCTCTACCCCTTCCCCAATGTACAGCCAGTTTAAAGATGAGGCAATGTATAGTATGCAATGTCTAGTTGTTTTGCTACATGATGATAACTTGTATCAATTTAACTCTATTTAATAGAAAGACAAGCAGCATCTGAACAAAACATAATACTTAATTGATTCCAGATATAATTGGCTGGATTTTTCCTCTTATTCCATCTTTATGACCTTCTAGAAATTCTCTTGATCATATGTACTAAACCAGGCCCCGATCTTGCAAACACTAACATGTATTATTTACTTCTGACTAGTCTCATTGAAGTCATCTTAGCAAGCACTATGGATTTTCATTTTAAAAGGGGGTGAAAATGTTTTAGAAAATCTCTGTTTTGAGTTAAAGGATCAATTTCAAATGCTTTTTGTAACTTATAGAAAATTCAAGCAGTTCATGGCATTTTGGTTTCTTTCCCCTTCAATATGAGTTAAATCCAATTTATAATTTCCAATGACTAACTTTTTCTTTGGACCCCTTTTTAAAATATACTAGAGCAATCAGGAATATGCAATTAAATGTGTGTAATTGTTTGCCATGTGTAGCAGAGACAAATGTTTGTGAAAAGTTGCAAGATGATTTCAATGAGTACCGTAGTTAAGGTTTAAGAAGTTATTGTTTTGAACGACAAAACTTATGTTGACCTAGTGTTATTAATGACACATCCTTGATGACAGCACAGGAGTTATATTTACATAATGACAAAGGGCCTAGGACAACATAATGTATTAGATATGCTGCCTGATTCTACATTATAGCATTTCAGAAAACTTAATTGTAAACCAGCCTAACTAAGAGTCTTAAAAAACAAACAAACAACCTCCCAGGCCTCTGTTATCTCACATCTCAACTAATATAGCCACCTCCTCTCTGAGCTTGACAAATCCCCCAACTTGCTCCCCTCCGCCTTAAATCTTTTTTAAAAGTTGTGGCAAAAATAATCTTCCTGACTCATTGTTTTGATTACATCACTCCCCTCTTTGTATCTTTCCACTGACTCCCCTTTTCCCACTGTACCAAGAACAAACTACCTGTCCACCCCTTGCTTGGAGACCTGCCAGTGGGCAATCGGATTGCCTGCAGTTATCAGGATTGGCTGGGAGGTGACAGGGAAATCCCCATAAGAAGTGATGCCAG